AGTTATCAAAACAAATTCTATGGGACTGAGAAATATTATTTTCTACTCTTTAGTCCATTTATAAAAGCGTTGTATATTAAAAAGTTTTTTTTTTATATTATTTATTTATGTTAAAGTTTGAACTTTGTTTATTTGCAATGCAAACTCAAAATGAAAATTTCTTGGGAAAGTGACCTTTTCTAGAAAAACGGCAAACAGATCCGTTATATACGATCCATAATTAAGTTTACGTATTTCGGCGTTTTTGTGTCATTTTAGCGTTCCTACAGTGATATTATTTAGATACCTTTTGGGTAAAAAAAAAATATCCTCATTTGGCGCTTACACAGCCAGCAACGAATTTAGCCTAACTTCTACTCGAGGAGGCACTAACAGCTTAAATTCGATTTCGAAAGTTAGATGGTTTTTGGTGAGAAGCCTTTTCAAGACAGAAATGCACACGCAGTATTTTTTTAGAAGTATTTTGGAATGGATAAAAAAAAAATTTGAAAAACCATTGGTCCAATTGTATATGCCCTGGCATGCAAGTGACTTAGGCTGTCACGTAAGTAATCAAGGTGGGGATGCTGATATTTAATTTGTGTGCATTATTACAAAACACAACACCAAATCGAATGCACTTCATTACTATCTTCCCAGCCTACTCGCATGCCATGGCGTATGAGTAACAATAATGTCTAGTACATCAATATTTAGTCCCGTCAAAATAGATCTTTCAAGTCGATGTAATTTTTTTGCTTCGGTTGAAAATATGTTAGAAGATGGTTTAGTGCTTAAAAATATACTTTCAACCATATAAAACTTTAGGAAGAAATTTAAATTTTGGCTGTTTTTAGGACTCGCCTAGGACAAACATTTGTATAACGCTAACTCCACTCAGAGTTGACCTGCAAATTAGGGAAGTAATTTCCAACCTATATTTTTTTTTTAATATATTTGAAAAGATATAGCTTAATATATTGTAGCTACCTATATCTTGATTCTACACAAGCGCATTTTGTGAAACAATAGCTAAGGTAGTTTGTATGTATTTCGAAATATATAGTTGTATAAATAAATTTACTTCTGAAAACTAAGAGAAAATATATGTACGTATTTGTAAAGTAATCACATCCCACAATAACTCAAAATTTTAATTTAATACTTTTACTTCTTCTTCTTTTTCCTTATCGCCACAGCAGATATGACAAATGGTGGCGTACAAGGTCCCTTGGAGGGTTATAATTCGCTAGATGAGCATATACTAACCATGAGTACAACACAATATCCAGCCACCACAGTTGGCTATGTACATCCGAAGTGGATAGAACCGTACTTTGATCCGTCAACGCCGCGCAATGTCACCGCACTAATGGGCAAATCGGCATATTTGAGTTGTCGCGTACGCAATTTGGGCAACAAAACGGTGAGTACTTACGCGTATGCATAACGTGATGCACACTAACACACACACACACGCACGCGTTAAAAAGCAACTCAACATAAAGTACATAAGTACATATAAAGTGATTTCAGTTACACACATACTTGCATAGTTAGTTACATACTCGCTCTGAAATTCAAATACAAATACGCTGAGGCTGATGGTTTCTAGCCGTTCAGCTACGGAGGTCAATACCCAACATGCCAACAATATTTGATAGATAAATGATAAAAAAAATTCAAATATTTTTAACCATTCGAAAGGGTCACATAACCTCATATACCTATTGGTTTATTTATTTTCAAGCAATTTTTGAAGGGTTCTTGGGTCTACATATTAAAAAGTATTTGAACTCTTTCAAATTCTATATTCTTTCGTTTGCCCTCTTTGAGGCGTAGCTCGACCACACGTTTAACAAAATGTGTGCACTCAATATTCTCTAATTAAAATATCCAGTTCTATAAAAAAAATAGTTCTATCTTTCCTACTGCAACTGCAATTGAAATTATTGGTTTGCTGGGTACTAATTTTTGCACATAGCCGTAGTTGCAACATGGAATGTGGCATGGTGTTATAGTGTAATTGCGACACGTTTCAGCAAGGGCATCTCATAAGCGTAGCATCCACCGTTTTCAATTTTGGCATCATTTCGATTTTTTCCTTGCACGAGCTCACCGCGACACCGGCCATGGAATGAGATAAGTTCAAATAAAAAAATAATTCTTCAACATTTTTGTATTCTCATTTTATGCAAAACTGCATGGTTCATGGTTGCGGAAATGTGGATTTCTTATAGAAATAGTTAATTACTTTAATTTTTCTACGTAGTTTTATACTTCTATGTATTCGTGTGCGCCCTTGCTCGGCAGTGGTCCATCCATGGAGGCCTACTTATGTCCATGCCATTAAAAGATTAATAAAATTCGCCACTCTATCTTCTTCGGAATCATGCAAGCAGGGGTATAGATAAAATAGTTAGTTCTCTCAAAAGATCCATAACCAGGGTGAATTTGTTAGTGGTTTTAATGCTGGATTTTAGGTAGAAAAAGTTTTTAAATTGAAATGTTGGATTAACTGAGGGCTAAATAAAGATAGTCGGATGTAAAAAGAAACAATCAAAAGCAAATTCCAAGTTTAACAAATCACTGTTTTTCCAAAAAATTTTAAGCAATTTTATGGTTTCTTTACGCATAAGGACATTTATTCCCCAATAATTCTTTTTTACCTTTTTCTTCTATAATTTTGCAAAGTTTTAAATTTTTTTCTAAAACAAATATTTTTTCTGAAATTCTTAAAATATGACTTTTTTTTTAATAAATCATATAAAAAGCTATGTCTCAAAAAATATTACTACTAAAATTACAATTAATTAAAATGATATCATTTTACCGAATAAAATTTGTTTTCCCAAACAAAATGATTTTTCCCAAAAACACAAATTCTTCAAAAAATATTTCTTTATTTCATCTAATGTTTTGTAAGTTACGATTTTGTTTAAATAATTTTCTTCTTCAAGAAATATTTTACTTAAAAATTATTTTTTCCTAAAATACTTAAAAACCATTTTTATCTAAATAAATTTATTTTCTTTTCCCTAAAAAAGTCCGAAAAAAAAATTTTTTTCCCAAACAATATTTTCCGGGGATAATGTTTTCCATTTTTTGTTTAATCTATAAAATTTTTAAAAATATGGTGAGAATTTTTTTCTCTGGAATTTTTTTTAATATATCGTAAGTTTGTTATAATATTGAAATATATCTGTTTTCTTATAAAAGTATTTCTCCCGAAACCCTAAAAATTTCTTTACAATAAAAAAAAAATTGTTTGGTGGTTCTTTTTTCTTCAATATTTTCCGTAAAAACTATGGCAAAAAGATAAGTAGAACTCCGGCACATAATAAAACATGAGCAATTAAATAACTAAAATTTATACAATATCCCTAGAAGTGGGGTAACTTATTGGAAAACATGTTTCGCTTGATCCTGAAGGGGCTAAAGAAATGTTTTCGTAAGGTGAAGAACATTTTTCACCAAGCGCTGCTGCTGAGAATCCATTACAAACTCTCACATTTATCCGCTTTACTCTTAGCTTCGATTAGTTTCCACTGTGCGGTGTCTGTACAATTTGGCATGCATCCAGTTTTAAAGCTTTTTTCTAGCATTCTTCATTTTTACGCTCGGCTCGGCTTTCGCCGTGCGCTCTGTGGTCGCTCTAAGAATGCTTATCTCGCGAATATTAGTGCACACAGCGGATTGATGCCGTTAGACAGAGAATTACCTTCCTTACGGAGGACCCTAGCATTCCCGGCGCATATTCGTAGATCTTATTACAAAAGCTTGGGCCGTCAGTCTCGGGAGAGATTATCTGCCTAGGTATTTGTGGCCCTTCATTATAAATGGTTTTTTTTCGTGGTGGGTCTTCAACCCAGTGCACAATCCATTGTTGGGAGAGGTTTTTAGTAGAATACACGTTTAAATACCGCGAGTTGCTTCTGACTTCATCGTAGCTCTCTCTCGCTCTTTCATACTTTCACTTTGCAATCGTTTCTCGGAGGCAATAAAAATGCATAGCTCACAGTTAGATCCCTTTGATGCAGTCCTAACTTTTTATCACTGGGCTAGAATTCTTAACGTTATACACACGCACACATGCATGGTTTTCATGACAACACAGCGTTGTCTACTTTCCGGCGTTTTGCCATCTAGCATAGTTACCACAAATACCAATGTGTTGGTAAAGCGTGAACCACACACGCTAGCTGACATTAATGACGCCGTACAATAAGTAAAAGTACATGCATGAGCATGTTATCGAAAGTTCAAGAAAAAAGGCAAAAGGTTGAGCAGGAAATACAGCAGATGAATGCTAGTGACGTTAAACAGCAGAAAAAGCAGAGAACCGAAAATTACAAGAAAAAAGGAATAACAAATAATTTTGCCAAGCAGTGCATTGAAGAGAAAAAATATTTAATGTTTGCATGGATTTTAATACGGAGAGAAGAGTGCAGACGATGAGCAGAAAAAAATCATGTTTAGCAACGACACCAGCAGAAAGCGTTCAATTGAAAAAGAAAATATTTTCCTTACCAGCAATTAAAGTACAAGCGCATGTGAGCACGCAGGAAAAAAGATAATAGCAAAAATTTTATTCTTCTATGCTGGATTTTTTTTAATTTTTTTTTGTCATTGTGCAGCCGAAAATTACAATTTCGCATTACATTACTGCTTGCTACACATTTTTGCACAGCTGCGTCAATGTAAAGGACGAGAGTGAAGCGCCATGCATTGCCGTTTTTCGTTTGGTTTCCCTTCGTTTTTTTTTTTTTTTTTGTTATTACACAAGGTGAAAAAAGATACTTGAAATTCTTGGCACATTTTCAAATTGTCTCAGTTTTAATGTGGCATACGCATTCCGAGTAAGTATCTACGAAATGTAATTGCTAGCGCCTTGCATGCAGCGCAAGCGAGAGTGCGAATGAGTTGAGCGTAGGTCAGCCAAAAACGGCGGCAGTGATGCTGTTAAAAAGAACAAAACAAGATCCAACTGATACGTAAGTGACATTTGGCATTGATTATGCCATGGGCTGAAGAGCGCAAATGAAATTTTTGGGTATTTACAGATATGCAGTAGCATGTGTTCGCTTGTGGCGAGGGGGGTAGGGGAACTACAAGTAATGTAATTTTCTAAATCTAATTATTAAAAGCAATTGAGCGAATAATTCAAACTGTGTAGTTGCATACATACTTTTTGCAAAAACTTATTAAAAAATAAAATAAAAATTTTACATGCCTTTGGGCAATTAATGGAATTTTTTTAAACACGAGTAAATATAATACGATTCTGGGTAAATATGCAATGCAGTTTAGAATGGCTCGCAAAACTTTTTTTTTCTGAACCAAACGTTGAGGTTTACTATTATTGCATCTTCTGTGAACAGTCTTAGGTTAGGTTAGATTGAAGTGGCTGCCTTCATTCAACGTAGGAGAGAGGCACACTTAGACCCAGTGGGGCCGTTGTTATACCAATTGAAAGCTCGAATTCGAATCCGTCCGTTCACCCAGAAGTCGAACTACTTGGTTTGATTCAGAAGGCTCGAGAATTCGTGAATGCCTGCTTCACTTAGGTCGGCCAGATAGGCAACAGGGTGGCGGTGAAATGAGCGTCTCTCGACCACATGTGGGCAGCGGAGTGTCATTAGCCGCAAACCAATTCTGATAGCATTCCCATTTTTTAAATCATTCGTATAAAATTCATTAATATTTTTCGCAGTTAAAAAGGTATTAGGAGTCCCAATTTGGGACACAAAAGTTTACTTCGATTTCCACAAATGACTTTTATAAATATGATTTAAAAAATAAAGGTCAGTGACTGATTTTTGTTTATGACTTTTAAAGAATAAAGCCTTCGATAACTGTTATCTAAGACATATAATTTAAAAATAAAAAAAAAACTGTTGTTTGCAGATTATTTAGTTAAAAGTCAAAAATAATTGTTATTTTCGATTTATAAAATAAAAGTCAGGAATAGCGGTTATTTAAAGAGTAATTAAATAAAAGTCAAAAAATAATTGTTAAAGCGCAATTTTTTTTAATAAAAGTGGAACTGTTACGGTTTATGAAGACTTTTATGAATTTTTATTTATAAATAGCCCATGCTTTTACATTCAAAATATTTGCAATATCCAAAAAGTAAGAGAGGTTTCAATTTCACTTGTGTACCTCCATTCCACTCGCTTTGCTTTGTATGTAATCAGGAAATCAAATAGAGTTTCGTTAAACGACATGCTATGTGTATAACTTCATTTAATGGGAAATATTCATTTAAACTGTGCCACGTTTTATTGTTATTTATTTACTCGTACTTGCAACGCACAGACACGCATATTTGTGTGTGCAATATTTTTTCATATGCCGTAAAAGTAAAATAGTGCAATTTATAAGAATTCATGAGCACAACTACAAACAAATATACACACATAAGCAAACCATACATATACCAGCCGCTTGTGCCGCTTACATTTCTCTCAATAAATCCTTTATGTTATTTCACTTGTTTATAGGTGTCGTGGATACGCCATCGCGACATACACATACTCACCGTTGGTGCATATACATACACATCCGATCAGCGCTTCCAGGCGACACATCACCAGGACACCGATGACTGGACGTTACAAATAAAATGGGCACAAAGGCGTGATGCCGGGATGTATGAATGTCAAATATCCACGCAGCCAGTACGCAGCTACTTTGTGCGGCTCAACGTTGTGGGTGAGTAGAGATGCGGTTGAGGGGTAGTGAGGTGGCTGCAGCTGTTTTGATTCGCATTCATTGTCATTAAACTGCATGCACTCACGCATACGTAGTAGGTATGTATGTATGAACATATATATACACACACATACGACAACCATATATTCGTACTATGATGTAATAGATGAAGTGCGCTTCCATACTTCCCACTATACGCCATCTTATCTGTCATTCCGCGCACATTTTCCCTTTAACACTCTATACGTGCAGCCATCAAAAGCTAGTTTTACTTCCTCAACTTTATATTTATTTGACAATCATTTCATTTCATCACAACTTCTCCTTCCTTTTATGCATAAATTACACACGAAAACTGTTTTACTTGCCACATTCACTACGCAAACTTTTAAGTGGGCGCGCATAAAAGTACATAGACTAGCCACATGCATACATACTACTACGCGTATTAAATGTGTATATGTATATCTATATGTATGTGTTTGTAATTTTGTCTCCTCTTTTTTTATGTGTCATCCGCGTTCACGCTTTTGTGTCACTGCCGGTCAACCAAACAACCAATCCGCCCGCAACTTACCAAAAATAACCCAACCAACGAACGCCGGTCATTTATTCTGCTCATCAACCGGCGCCGCTTCCTTCATTGCCATACATTCTTCAACTTCTTCAACTGCGTGTGGTTGTGCGTGCATTTATTACTTACTGCTTTTATACTTCGCTCATTGCTCGCGTTTTTGTGTGTGCGTGTGTGTGTTTGCTTATCAACCAACGTACAGTGCCAACAGCGACCATCCTTGGCGGGCCTGACCTTCATGTCGACAAAGGCAGCACCATAAATCTTACATGCACAGTGAAATTCAGCCCCGAGCCGCCGGCCTACATTTTCTGGTATCATCACGAGGAGGTAATTAAAATTTACTGTTAAATTTTGTGTGGTTGGCGAGTGCCAGCGTACGTACATATGTATTTGCCTATATGCAAACATAGATACTTACATTCTTATATTTATATTCGTGCTTTTAGCGATAATTTCCTTCTTTAACTGTACTTGTAGCTTGTGTGAATGTTATTGTTGACATTATGGTCGCCATAATGATAGGATATATTAAATTTGGCGACAGTTTTGGTTAAGTAATTTCAAAAAATTGGATTAAATGAAGTGAGTGCTTTAGTGAACTCTTTGTGGAAGCCATAATGCGCTCCATGCATATATTTGTGTGATCCACTAACAACAAGTGAAATAGGGTTAAGTGAAATATTTTGATATACATACCCTACAAGACATTGCTGAGCACTTTAGGCAAAAACTCTCACACATTTACACTTTTGTTTTTGTAGTACGGCATAAATGAGTAGTTTGACTATTAGTACTGAGGACTTTCTGATGACAATATTGAGGGGAAAGTACTCAAATTTTTCCCATGGCCTGAACGAAAATGAGGACTTTGATAAGCACTTTTGTGATTAGGAGTAATGATAATATGAGTACTCATATGATACTCAGCTGTCTTGTAGGGTATACATAGATATTTACTTACTTATGTTAGTGTGTGTTTGTTAGCAGGCTTGGTCTTGCCACCATGTCTGCGTGCGCCTTGTGTAAAGTCAAAATCAACTTCTAAAGAGGTCAGTCATGATGTAGTAAAGTTTTCATTACTTCTTTCTGACTGAAAATTAATTTTAGAGCACTCTGAAATGATCAGAGATTTCGCCGATACATATTAACATATTTACTTGCTTTATATACCAAAAAGGACCAGTGCAGGTTATGCAAATGCGACCAGAACAGGCCCAAGCCAGATATTACTTTTTGTAAAGCCATTCAATTTATTGTAAAATATTTTTTTAAGTCACGAGTATTAAAAAAAGAAATTTCAAAGTTCATATTTATAATAAAAAGCTCCTGGGACTTCTGGGATAACTATGCACTACATTAAATGGATTCTCATATAGGGTGAAAGGCCCCCACAATAGAGCACGTCAGAGGTCGCAGTGGACAAGCGAAAGCCGGACCCGGTACTAAATATGTGCCGCTCCACTGAATTTTTTTATTATTTTTCTTTAACGAATTTCCAATTACATTTACATTTTAGGAATGCTAAAATGGCACAAAAAATTACGAGACTTGTAGACTTAAGTTTGTGTCGCAGATTAAGGATCTGTATAATATTTTTCTATATCCGATCATTTTCCCGAGATATTTGCATTTAAAGTTTGCATTGCGAATGAAAAAAAAGTCAAGCTCTAACATGGAGAGTATGCACGACACGGCGTATGAGTAACATTATTTGCTGCCCCTATTTCATACAAAAATTTAGTGTTGGGCAGTACGGATACCAAAATTACTCAGAACCCGACTGTCAAAGGGATCGACAGCATCCGATTTTTAAAAGTATCGATACTGAGTACTCCAAAGAACTCAGTACTCATAAAAGAACTCGAGAGTACTCAAAAATACTCTGTTCCAATAATCGCTTGATACATATACTCAGGATCGATTAAAAGTACCCAGTATTAAATTTCGAATAGACTTAAAAAGTACTGAGTTTTATTTACAGTTAACGGTATTCAGAAATGATTGTACTCAATTTGCAGTTTCAATAATTTTCAAGTACAATATTTGTACCCAGTACAGTTAGCCATTCATTTGAGGTAATTTGGGATTCATTTATTAATTTGAATAAAATACTGCCAGCCCTATCTCAAAACATTTTAATTGAGTTAGGGCATTTTTGAACCAAATTCTGAGATAGGGCGTTCTGCAAACATTTTCGAACCAAATACTCTTGCTGTATACATTTGACATATACTAGCTAGGGATGTTAGTTTTTTTCTCTTTTTACGATCCCGCGATTTTCGGGATGTAGTTATCACAATCCGGGGCTATTAAAAAATCCGTAAGACTATGTGGAAAGTGTTCACACAGCAAGATTCTTGAAAAGCGTTTTGGAGCTGAAAGCAAAGCAGAGAGGACAAGAGAATGTATTTTTCAGCAAATCTTTTAGCCGATTTTCATTAAAGTGAATTTTTGTGGTAATTTTGTAGCTCACATTATTCGGAAAGCTGCGCTTCGCCTCGTTCAGTGTGAACAGCAGTAGCTGCGATTCGCTCTGCCTTACCACTTTCTGTGTGTACGTACCCTAATTCGTAATTTTTTTTCTGCTTCGTACAAAAATAAATAGTAATGAATTCGAATTTTATAATTTATTCGGCATTAAAAACTTAAATGATACAGCACGTGACCAGCGACTTGCCAACCTTTGGAATTTACTTTACTTTACTCTGAATTCGTATGTTTGGCATTAGTTATTCTGCAGAAGTACGCCATATTTGTTTCTCTGTTTGAATTTTATTTTCCAAAGACTTCAGTTTAGTCTTTATGCCACTATGTATACTTGAAATGCTAAACTTGTAAATTGCTCAGCAACGCACGCCTGACAATATTTCGTTTGCATTCATATTTTTTTTCTTTTGTCTTCTTGTTCTACATTAATTGTAATTTACCCCTTTACTGACTTGTAAAGTTGGCGGCCAGCGCTTAAGCGTTTTTGTTTATTTATAAGGATGTTGAAAATTTTGCCAGAATACGCGCTAGCATATCCTTAACCCGGTTTTTCTAAGCTGGTCAAACAAACAACTCCTTAAATCTGCTATGCTATGTCGTACGACCCCTGCGTTGATACCCCTCTCATTAGCAGCGTAATTTGTCGTTGAGTTCAGTGCGCGCAGAACATTTTGACTTTGTTGAGTGGACGTGGACGTTGACGATGAGCATAAAAACCTAAGCATTTTCCTAGTATTTTATGCCCTTTTTCTTTTTCTATTTTTCCGCATTTCACGCCAACGCGTAGCCACTCCCTTTTTTAACGTATTCTGTTTAATGTTATTTTATTTTTTATAAAGTGCCGACTTGTTTGTTACCAGCATCACTCCCAGTAACGCAGAACTTCCTGCTTCCTTCAAATTTTAATTAATATTTACAGTGGCATGAGTGCGCCACTTGTGTGTCCCTTTATCCTGTTTTGTTTTCATTCCGTTTTCTCTCTTTTTTTTTGGTGTTTTTGGTATGCCATATTTTCACTTTAGTTTCATATTTTTTTTGTATTTTTGTTCGTTTTAGAGGGTTCTCAGTCTAAGCTTTTTCATATTGTTTTCAAATAAATATTTGCGTATAATTAACAGCGCTAAATGACATTTGGCCTTGGAGGAGTTGGATGGAGTTTTGCTTCATTTTCAATGGATAGCATCTTGCGTTTACTAACCAAATTTATGAGTTTCGTGAAAGCGACAATCTTCGTTTTGCATTTAGCTAATCTAATTAGCGTTGAAGGCGTGTTTTCCAACCTTACGTTAGCCGTGTAGAGCGCGGTCGGTGTGAACAATTTTTTCTAAATTTTTTCATTTAGCAGCTGCTTGTACAAAATTCTCTGGTTGCTTTGGAGGGATAATTGGATAATATACTTACATAAATCAAGAAGTTCATAAATTTGATTAAATAAAATAATTAACAGAATCTTGGCACAGCTCCCTGGCGACGTTGCGGTTGAAAAAGGACACAACAAAAAATATATTTTTAACATTTTTTGTTTGCACGAAGCTGAAAAAAAGGCATTGACTGACTCAGTTTCAGTAGAGAATCAATTACGAACTGAAGAAAGTTAGGAAGCCTAATTAGTATAGCATTGTGTGCAGTGCAAAATTTCCAGTCACGGATAAAAATTTGACATATGCGGCCGCCGTAGCGGAGTGGTAGGAGCCGATAGGAACTACAATCGATTTCTGGACGGAATAACAAAAAAAAATTGGTTGTAATAGCTGTCACCCCGTGGCATACTTATGTTTCGAAAGAGCTTCTCACAAAAGCCATTTGACGTTTGGAGTTGACGAAGTGATGCCGCTGCCCAGCTGATTGATGTCCTCGGGGAGAATAAGACTGATATAATCACCATCTTAGAAATGTGATGCAATGGAAAAGGTAGGGAACACATCGGAATTTGCGACACTTACTACAGCTGCCATGTAACGGCGCGTAAATTCGGGTTTGCATATGTGGTGGAAAAGGTCACGAAGATCACGCCTTAATACTCTTCAAAGCGAGATTCTTCAACATTTCGTTTGAGGCCCTACCCAGAGAGCTTTGCATCCGAAACGATATCAAAATATTGCTTGGTGATTTTAATTCCAGGATGGACAGGGATTTTTGGGCCACCGTGGGAGAATTCGGCCTTCACGACGACACGCCCGATAACGCGCGGAGGCTGGTCGACTTCACCGGGCAAAACATCTCCTCATTACGGCGTAGGTGCCAGGATGATTTACTCGGTCTTTTTAAACCGGTTTCAACCGGTTTGTTTGAATATTTTTAAGCGGTTTTTTAAACCTTTATTTATCGAACGCTGTGTAAATCGGATTTTTAGAATTCATTAAACCGGGTTTGCACGTAGTGCTTTCATATGTAGCTGCTTCACTGCTGAAAATTACTTAAAAAATAAAAGGAAACCCGAACAAAACTATTTCACTGTTGTTCTGTCTAAATCAGTGAATCGGCTATATACGTTCTGTCTTAATTCTCACTAATGGAAGGCTCAGAAAAAGGCTTTAGTGGTTTATTGAACTCAGCCAAATGGTTTAGGCCGATACAGCGCTTATACAGAAGAAGAAGAAGAACAAGAAGAACAAGAAAAATAGGAGAATTAGGAGTTTGGGCCGATGTAAAGGATAAATGATCTCTCATTCTTTTGTTAATTAATAGTGAAGAATTATTATTATGCAACACGTAACTTGCTGAAATTAACAGCTTAATATAATAAATTCACATGCATTTGCCTTGGAGGCTGGAAGTTCTTAACTCTTGCTGACTTAATGGCAGTCATAAATTTAAATTTGCCACATTCGACTTAGAAA